CAATCCCTGTTTAGCCCTGAGTTGATTGTGTCTAGTTTGCATATCAATTCCAGCTCAGCAGTCTCTCGTTGGAGTCTGTTTTTGAAGTTTTTCTGTTTTAAGATAGCCACCCGCAGGTCTGTCATAGAATGGCCAGACAGGTTAAAGTGTTCTCCCACTGGTTTTTGAGTATTATGATTCCTGATGTCAGATTTGTGTCCATTAATTCTTTTGCGTAGAGACTGTCCGGTTTGGCCAATGTACATGGCAGAGGGGCATTGCTGGCACATGATGGCATATATCACATTGGTAGATGTGCAGGTGAACGAGCCCCTGATGGTATGGCTGATGTGATTAGGCCCTATGATGATGTCACTTGAATAGATATGTGGACAGAGTTGGCATCGGGCTTTGTTACATGGATAGGTTCCTGGGTCAGTGTTTTTGTTCAGTGATGTGTGGTTGCTGGTGAGTATTTGCTTTAGGTTGGGGGGTTGTCTGTAAGCGAGGACAGGTCTGTCTCCCAAGATCTGTGAGAGTAAAGGATCATCTTTCAGGATAGGTTGTAGATCTCTGATGATGCACTGGAGAGGTTTTAGTTGGGGGCTGAAGGTGACAGCTAGTGGTGTTCTGTTATTTTCTTTGTTGGCCCTGTCTTGTAGGAGGTGACTTCTGGGTACTCGTCTGGCTCTGTCAATCTGTTTTTTCACTTCAGCAGGTGGGTATTGTAGTTTTAAGATTGCTTGATAGAGATCTTGTAGGTGCTTGTCTCTATCTGAGGGATTGGAGCAAATGCGGTTATATCTTAGAGCTTGGCTGTAGACAATGGATCGTGTGGTGTGTCCTGGATGGAAGCTAGAGGCATGTAGGTAAGTGTAGCGGTCAGTAGGTTTCCGGTATAGGGTGGTATTTATGTGACCATTGCTTATTAGCACAGTAGTGTCCAGGAAATGGACCGCTTGTGTGGATTGATCTAGGCTGAGGTTGATGGTGGGATGGAAATTATTGAAATCATGGTGGAATTCCTCAAGGGCTTCTTTTCCGTGGGTCCAGATGATGAAGATGTCATCAATGTAGCGCAAGTAGAGTAGGGGCGTTAGGGGACGAGAGCTAAGGAAGCGTTGTTCTAAGTCAGCCATAAAAATGTTGGCATACTGTGGGGCCATGCGGGTACCCATAGCAGTGCCGCTGACTTGAAGGTATATATTGTCCCCAAATGTGAAATAGTTGTGGGTGTATGCATCCGAAGAAGTGGGTTGTAGCCCACGAAAGCTTATGCTCTAATAAATTTGTTTGTCTCTAAGGTGCCACAAGTACTCCTGTTCTTTTTGCGGATACAGACTAACACGGCTGCTACTCTGAAACCTGAGTAAATTGGGTACTTTGGTCTTATGGTATATTTTTGTTCTCGGATTGTAATTTTTTGTCTGACTTGCTTTTCTTTTGCATGCCTCACTTTAGTATCTGTGCATCTCACAAACATTAATAAAATGGCCACATTTTACAGATAGATGATCTGATTCAGTGATTAAAGATTGGTGCAAGGTCACACAGGAAGTATGTGGAAGAGCCAGAAATAGAGCCCCGATCTGCTGTGTCCTCAGTCCACTACTTTAAATATAACAAGATCATCATTCCTATTTTAGAATCCGGTTTCTGGTAGGAACACTTATGGATATGTATTCAACATTTATTTTCCATTTGCTTCATTTTTTTTGTTGCTTCTACACTTACTCCTATCAACAAACTGCGATGCTGTAAATGACCATAGAATCGGTTTGAGAACACATTGAATTCACTTAGAAATTTCAATTAATATACATAAATTTGTTTTTGTAATATTTATCTAGGTTTAAGTATAGCTCATTTTCTAACTTGAGCATGGAATTAGTAATTTTTTTTGTGGGGGAAGGGGCGTTGCGCTCCCCCCCCCCCCCCCGGAAAAGAATTGTAACGTAAATATTGGAGTTGCGAATGGGCCAAAATCATTCCAGCTGTAACTCAGTCAGTAGACTTGCACTATAGGTGGTGTCCCATTGTGTCACAGCATAGTCAGTCAGCAGCCTGCATCATATTTTATTACATTGAGGGTTTACTGCATTCTTTTTAGAAACTGACTTTCCTTTTTTGAAATGCTTCCTTTGTTTTCACAACTTAAACTTTGGACCATGTATCATATATAGGACTCCAAATTTATTCTTTTCTAAGTACTCTGTAGGGATAATTTGTGGAAACTGTATCTCTTTTTTTTTTTTTTTTTTAGTAATGTAAAGTATGAGGTTTTTTAAGAGGGGAAAAAAAACTTATTTACTATACACTTTGTGACATAAGAAACATTTTCTTTAAATTGTGAAGGGAAATTTAGTTTTCATGAGTGAGGTACTGGTGCCACTTGTTAATCATGTTTAATGTAGAGTTTTTATTTGTAGGTTTCTCCACATAAACTGATTTTTTCCCCAGGAGAATTATAGAATCCTTGGCATAGGGTTTTGATAAGTGAATCTGATTCTATTTTTTTTTTTAGTGCTAAGTTGTTATTGTTAATAACTATATTGTTACTGATATAGAAACTAATAATCTTGAATAGTGTTTAAAAGCATTTTATTTTAAAAGGGATTTTTATTTCACCCTTTAGGTGTATAACCAAGACAAGCATGGTGTGTGATTAATAATTAATCATTTATTTTGTAGGTTGGAGGAGGACAGTGAGGAAAAAATGACAGGGGAGAGCATTAAAAAGCAAGGCTTTGTCACACTTTTTTACAAGAATAGTTATTTAATGTCAAACATTTTTAAAAAAACAACTCTGCAACAGCCACTGTTTTTGAAACCTTAACTTCACCCCTAAACTATGGTATTTTCAGACTAGTTGGCTTTGCTCAAATCATATTCTGCATGATTTCATGATGCCTCATTAGTGTTCAAGGATGCTTCATGGGACAAACATAAATGACAGTTTATTTGTAAGTGAATGACCTACTTGAAATTGAATTTCTGTGTTTTGAAAGGTTTTATTCCACCCAGAATGTTGTTAGCAATAGTAATACTAAAAGACAGTTAAAATAGAAAAGCAATGAAGCAACAAGCTTTCTAGCTATGTCAGCACTATAGCAAGCAAACAATTGCAAAACCCCAGTGTTTAGAGCCCAGAGATTTCTAATGATGCCTAGCATAATCTTTGCTAGGCTACCTTATAGTTTTGATTTGTTTGTGATACTTAAACTAACTTTTTATTGCTTAGTGCAGAGATTCCCGAACTTTGATCTCTGCTGGCTTTTGATATTTAGTTTCCAGCTGCTTTGCTGTCATCAAAGATTGCTAAGAAGAGCCTGGAAGTACGAAAAAGCAGGTGGAAACAAGGAAGAAACAGTCAGCTTATCTACCTCTACTAGAGACCGCTACTGTGGATGAGGAGGAGACTAAATAGGAGCCATCCTTAGGCCTGGTCTGCACTACACGGTTAGGTCGATGTATAGCTAAGTGAACACAAGGCAGCTTACAAGTGTCTTCACTTAAATTTGACTCCCGCCAATGTAAGTGCCTCACTATGCCAATTTAGTGACACCACCTATCCGAGTGGCAAAGAGTCATGGTTGATGTAATTAGGTTGACGCAGTGTCAATGTAGACACTGCGCTGCTTACATTGACTGTTACTGGCCTTCAGGAGCCATTCCACAGTGCCTCACACTGACAATATAATCAATACAAGCGGTCCTGGTGAGGATGTGCAGTGCTGACACAAGGAGCAAGTGTGTGCGCACACAAGTGATTTAATAACTGTGGTGGCCGTAGGTTGACATAATTTGCTAGAACTGCCCAACCAGGCTGAGCCACCGAGGGTACCAGGTCAACATGATGGAACTGTACTGTGACAGGGAGAGGCTGGTACTGGCCGTGTGTGGTCAATGGAAGAACGGGGAAGAGCCGGCCCCTTGCTGGAATCAATTCCCCTCTCTGACCAGCTAACCCCTGCCCTGCAGGCAGAGATCAGAAAGATACTGCATTCCTACCAACAGCTGTTTTCCAACTGGCCTGGGCTCACTTAGAACTGGAGCTGTCCACTGGGTGGAGACGGGAGCCGGCCCTCCCATCAGGTGTGCCCCATTCAGAGTATGGTAACTAGGAACACAGCCCAGGCCCTGGAGGGAGAGGTCAGAAACATGCTGGCTTTAGGGGTGATCCAGTCATCCACCAGCCCTGGGGGCCTCTCCCGTGGTGCTGGACCCCAGGAAAAATGGGTTGATCTGATTCTGTGTGGCCTATCGGAAGCTCAGTGCCATCACCATGTCTGATGCCTGCCCACGCCTAGGCCTGATGAGATCCTAGACAAGTTGGGGGGGACTTGGTACCCCATGACCAGGGATGTCACCAAAGGCTACTGGCAGGTGCTTTTGGATCCAAATGCCAGGTTGAAACCGGCTTTTGTCACGCCTTTGGGGCTGTACAAGTCCCTGGTCCTACCTTTCCAGCTCCAGGAGGTGCTGGTCACCTACCAGCGCCAGGTGGATCAGTTACTGAGGGGGATGGAGAATTTTACCCTAACGTACATTGATGATATTTGTGCCATTAGCCAGATCTGGGAGGACCATGTGTCCCAGGTGAAGAGGGAGCTGAGTCACCTCCAGGATGCAGGGCTGACTGTAAAAGCTGGGACATGCATGGTGGAGTTGGCAGAGCACCTGGGCAACAAGGTGGGGAGCGGCTGCCTAAAGCCAGAGCTGGCCAAGGTGGGGACTGACCTGCTCCCCAGACTAAGAAACAGGCCCAGGCCTTTATTAGGATGGTGGGGCACTACCGGAGGTTTGTGCCCCACTTTAGCTCTGTGTCTGCTCCCATCTATGCAAGAAGGCTAAGCCAGACAAGCTGGTCTGGACTGGGCAGTGCCAGAGGGCTCTCTGCATGCTGAAGGAGGATCTGGTCAAGGGCCCGGTGCTGGGAAAACCAGACTTTGACAAGCCCTTTATGGTGTTCACCGATGCGCCAGACACAGGGCTGGGCGCGGTGCCAAGGCAAGCCAATGCAAAGGGGGAGAGAAACCCCATCGTGTACTTGAGCAGGAAGCTGCGGCCCCGGGAGCAGGGCTATGAAGCCATAGAAAAGGAATGCCTGACCATGGAGTGGGCTCTTAAAAGGCTGCAGCTGGATCTATTTGGGTGGCGCTTCACGGTGTATCCGGACCACTCGCCCTGCTGTGGCTGCACCAGATGAGAGGGGCCAATGCCAAGCTCCTGAGGTGGAGCCTGTCCTTCCAGGATTGAGATGGAGGTGGTCCATGTTAAGGGGAGTGCAAATGTTATAGCTGATGCTTTGTCCCAGAGAGGGAGGCCTGAACTTCCCCAGGTCACTGGCTAAAGTGACCCCGCTCAGTTCAGTCTCGAAGCGGGGAGAGATGTGACATAGTATGGATTTTCCCTTGTTATGTTGTATGTGAGTCTTACTGTTTTGCAGGAATGCTGTGTGTGCCTCAGTTTCCCTGTGTATTGCACCAATGTCTAGGTGGTGGGAATAAGGATGCGTGACTTCAGCGGGGGTTATGATTCCTGATGTCAGATTTGTGTCCATTTATTCTTTTGCGTAGAGACTGTCCGGTTTGGCCAATGTATATGGCAGATCTTGGGAGACAGGCCAATCCTCGCTTACAGACAGCCTCCCAACCTGAAGCAAATACTCACCAGCAACCGCACACCATACAAACCCAGGAACCTATCCTTGCAACAAAGCCCAATGCCAACTCTGTCCACGTATCTATTCACGTGACACCATCATAGGACCTAATCACATCAGCCATGCCATCAGGGGCTAGTTCACCTGTACATCTACCAACGTGATATATGCCATCATGTGCCAGCAATGTCCCTCTGCCATATACATTGGCCAAACCGGACAGTCTCTACGCAAAAGAATAAATGGACACAAATCTGACATCAGGAATCATAACATTCAAAAACCAGTGGGAGAACACTTCAACCTCTCTAACCACTCAGTGACAGACTTGAAGGTGGCAATTTTGAAACCAAAAAAACTTCAAAAACAGACTCCAAAGAGAGACTGCTGAACTTGAATTAATATGCAAATTAGATACAATTAACTTAGGTTTAAACAGACTGGGAATGGTTGGGTCATTACACTAGTTGAATCTATTTCCCCATGTTAAGTATCCTCACACCTTCTATGGGTCATCTCGATTATCACTTTAAAAGGTTTTTTTTCTCCTGCTGATAGCTCATCTCAATTGATTGGCCTCTTACAGTTGGTATGGCTACTTCCACCCTTTCATGTTCTCTGTATGTATAAATATCTTCTTTCTGTGTTTTCCATTCTATGCATCCGATGAAGTGGGCTGTAGCCACGAAAGCTTATGCTCAAATACATTTGTTAGTCTCTAAGGTGCCACAAGTACTCGTTCTTTTTACAAGTGATTTAATAACTGCGGTGGCTGTGATGTTGGTAGGTTGGAGGAAGCTATTGGAAGATATTGAAAGGATTATTTCTACACCTATGTTTGAGAGGTGTGCCTGTCACTTGTGAAGTGGTGTGTTACTGCATCCCCAGGTACTGTTAAATGATCATATGGCAGCAGTGTCCAGGAATGCTTCTTTAGTGTCTGCACCTGGCTGGAGAAAACTCAGGTTTTTTGGATGTGAACCCTGTTATTGTGATACATACTTTTGTCACTCCAAGACTGGATAAGTACAATACATTCTGCATGGGGCTGTAACTTTAATCAGTCCAGAAACTAAGGCAAGTGCAGAATGCAGTAGTCTGCCTATTAAATGGTACTTCCCAGTTGCAGTACATGATACCTGTACTCAGTGATTTACATGGGCTACCTTTTGGTTTCCTGATTGAATTTTAAATGTTATGTTTGATCTATAAAGCCCTAAATAGCTTGGGAGCTTGCTGCTTGAGATACTGCCTCTCTCCTTGTGCCATATTGCCACAGTTGTGATTAGTGGAGATGTGCTAGGTGGATCCTCCTTAATTTAAGAGGTGGAGCATGGTTAAAAGAGATGGTAGTGTATTCTCTGTGAGGGTCCCTCAGCTCTGTAATAAGTTCCTTTCCTCAATCTTAAATAGCCATGTGTTCTGGTGTGAAGGGCATGCTGCAAGGTTAATCAATGTATACCTTTTAATGCAGGGGGAGGGAAATTGTTTTGTTGGAGGTTTAGTCCTGGTGGCTGGCAGACAGGTAAGCTGCTGTTTAATTCATTTCTGGTTTTGTAATGTATTGGGGGGGGGGGCAGAGCCCCTTTTATTATAGTAGAAATCCAAATAAATATTTAAAAAACCGAAACTACCCCATATTCTGCATGTCTTCCCCTCCTGTATGGTGTATCCTCTTTTTTATTCTATGGGATCTGGAGCTAATGACCCTTTTATACACTTCACCTGTGTCATTAAGCGAACCTGATAGTTCACCCAGATCATTATCTCCTTTGTTAACCTTGTCAATTACAATTAAACTTAATTAACTGCAACTTTAATGCCCAAACCAGTGATAATAGAATTTAAGCTGAACAGATATCCTCTGATTTTGAACACTAATAATTATTGCAGTATTGTAAAATAAATCATGCAATACATATAAAATACAGACTGTAAAGATTTAATGTTTAAATTTGAAACTCCAAGATACTAGTTGGTGTCTGTTTTGTAAACTTGGCTTTTGTGCTGGAGTTCACAGATATAATAGCTGACTTTACCGGATATTTGCTTGTATCTATGATTAGAAATGCAGCCTTTTGTGACTATTCCAATTAAGTGAATACAGTAAGGGCTGTGTGTTGCCTTTGATCCACTTGTGCATTTTTGTGTGTGTCAATAGGTGTCTTCTCATGGTTCAAGGGTAGTTTAAAAAGGATAATTAGAGGGCATCTTTATCTCTGGAATTTCATTTGCTTGTAATCTGTGGGCTGGAAATGTACTTTTCTCTTAGTATAACTCTTCCTTTTCCTATGCTTAGAGCAGAGATTAAATTTAATATTGCTTGCTTTCTTGTTTGTACATCTCTAGGGACACTTTCACTTTACCAAATGTAATTTAGGGCTTATAAGAGGAGGAAGGGAAAAAACAAAACTTGATTTTAATTCAAAAATATTTAGATGCTGCAATGGAAATTGTAGACTGACTTAAAAAGGTAAAATGTGGAAGGAAGTTGTGGTAATTGGGATGGGTTGGTCCCCCCCCTTCTGGGATGACACCTGATGTACTGGGGTTTCACTGAGCCCCTCCTGCTCCACCAACCTGGATTCCCTCTCCCTGTTTTGCTGAATTAGGCTCTCCGGCCTCTTGTAGCATACATACACACACACACAGGTAGGGCCACATGCAGCTGCAGACACAGACTGAAGTCAGCTCTGTGAGAGGATTTACCCAGCACTCTCATGCACACCCCTTTTGGGAGATAAATGCCAAATAATACTGTCTTGCGCTGTATAGAAAGATTTGCACAGCGCATGCTCATAAAAATTCGCCCTCTCCCTCAGTGTGAAGAGAGAGATGCACAATTTCTTGCCCCCCGTTAGAAATTGCACAAACTGGCTTTAATAATAAAACAATTTTATTAACTATAAAAGGCAGATTTTAAGTGATTATAAGGGATAGCAAACAGAACAAAGCAGATTACTGAGCAAATAAAAGAAAAATGCATACTAAGCTTAAGATCTTAAAAAGACTGGATTTAAGAAGTAATTTCTCACCCTAAATGTAGTTTTAGGCAAGTTGCAGAGATTCTGTAGCTTGGAGTTCCAGTTATTTCTTATAGAGTGGACCCCTTTCTCAATCTGGACTCACCCCTGCCTTTCCCCTCAGGTTGGTTCCTTTGTCCCTTTAGGTTCTTTCAGCAGTCCTTCTTGGGTAGGCAATGGAGGAGAGTCTAGATTAACCCTCTCGCCAGCCTTAAAAAGGATTTACTTAAGGTGGGAGACCTTTGTTTGATCCCCATCCCCCTACAGAGGAAAAGTACCAGCAGTGTTCAAGGTGGTGTTTTGGATCAGGTGATCTTATCACCTGACCTTGCAGTGTCAAAGCAACTATGAAACCAAGTTTATTTGCAATGTCCACAGGAAGGAACTGCAGGCAGATGGGAGATCCACATCTTCAGACTCATGGTCTTTTTCTAATGGCCCATTAAGTCTGATTGCTTACTGTCTGGTGGGCATTTCCCCAAGTGTACACAGTTGTAATTGTTATAGTCAATATTCCAAACTTTAAATACAGAAATGATACATGCATACCAATTGGTTATTCACGTTCAGTAAATCATAGCCTTTCCAATGATATCTTACCGAGTCATCTTGCATAAAGTACATTTTAGTTATGCCATATTCATATTATAACCAAATTTCTATGAAGAGATTACTGAGATGTTATAGCCCATATTCATCTGTCCAGTTCAACAAAGCAATATTTTGAATAGTAACTTGAAAGTACCTTTGAATCCTGACCATCTGAGACTTGTTGAGCGTGAGATTAGTCTCCTCCCCCATCCCCAAAATATACTCTCTTCTTCTTCTTCTTCTTCTTCTTCTCTCCCTCCTATTCCCTGGTAGTCAGATACACATTTAAGTTGAATCACCCCCTGAAAAATGTCAGAACACAATGTCAATCTCCCATATCCCTGCAGACAAATTAAGTCCATATAATTGCTGGGAAAGCAATTTTAAAACTTTCTCCATGAATGGTCATGCATCTCTATAAGGAAGATTCCAGGATCTGAGGATGGGATTAAATTTTTGCCTCCCTTCTCTACAAACTAGGAAAGGGGGAGAGAATACCTTAGTATGTAATAGGGGGCAGTAGTCCCAACATTTCAGTCTGCGAGAGTGCAGTGCATGAATGCCCTTAACTTGATTACAAAAATGGTGCTGGATGAGAGTGATTGTTTTTGTCCTTTTAGGGCTAATGTGACTAAACCAAGGTGTGAGCTAGGAATGCTTCAAAGTAGAATTGATAAAAATCCATAAGTCTTTCTAGCAATCAAAAAGTTATTTTATCACATACATAGGTATGCAGGGTGCTTATCTCCATATACTTATTGATCCTTTTAATCAAAGATGCCTTCATCTTTTCCCCTGTTAGTTACATACCTGCAATATCAAGAATTTCCATTAAGCCCAGTATCCACATCTTGAGTATTTACCAAACTACTGTCCTTAGGTTGGCTGCCATTATGATACAGAGTATAGCTGTCAGAACTGGAATATTGACTTGAGAACCATCTCACACTCAGGAGCTGTAGTAATCAGAGTAATTTATTGTTTCATAATCTGGGACTAATAATAAATCAAGAGTTTAACACTGTCTGCTGATCATAGAATATTAGTGTTGGAAGAGACCTCAGGAGATCATCTCGTCCAATCCCCTGCTCAAAGCAGGACCAACACCAACTAAATCATCCCAGCCAAGGCTTTATACAAGGCTGATATATATTTAAGCCTATTTTTAAATACAAAACTAAGCAAAGCCATTACAGAGCAAAAATACAAGCAATAAGAGTAAATCCGATGTCAATAAATGAATGTTTCTATCAGCTGAATCTCTTGTAATGCATAGATCTGCTGTGGGTATGAGCTCATACCAAATGAGCTCTAGTTTTAAGGAGAAACAAATGAATTTATGATATGGCAATATCAATGTTTAAAGCAAGTATTCCAAAACTCTGACCACAGATTTAAGTGGTGGATGTTTTCTAGGGGCAGGACATAGCGTAAGTATAGCAGTCTTCAGAAAGACATTGTTCTACTTACTACTGTCTTAGAAATAATAGTGGTCAGAAAAGTCTAGTCCATGCAATGAATTCTAACAGTACAAGAAATACTAGTTCAGATAGACTGTTCTGTAGTCCCCTATACAAATGAAGCTTTGTTTCCCTCAGGGTTTTAGGAAAGTTTGGGAGTAAACAGCTTCAAAAGTACAAAATTATGTAGTAGGGTGGAGAGGATTCCATCACTGCTTCTTTTTCTGATGAATGTAGCTATCCTTTTTCCCTCTCCAGGCCTCCTTTATCCCAAATGTACTTTTAGGTTAGATTGCAGTTCTGAACAAACTATTGGATGGTAGGTTGCGTTCAACAATGAAAGTGATCTGATAAAGTGTGAACACCTACCACCGCGACTGATATTTCTGCTTTGTCTTGGCGCGTGTTTTTTCTTCTCTGCAACCTTTTTGTCTTTTCCACTTTGCATTCTGTTTCTCCCTCTCCCTGCTGCTATTTTGCTTTGGGATGTCTGTAGGATCAGCAACTAAAAGTGCATCTCTGTCAGTTTCTCATTGCAGTTCATGCTGTCTTGAAAGTGATATAGCTAGCTGGTGGTCTGTTACCCGTTGTGCATCTGTATAGGCTGCAGGCAGACAACTGGTTGGGAAGAGTGATTTGGTGTCAATTATGTGTGTGTAAACTTGCCAGACACTAGCTGTGTGTTTGTGAGGATGGGGGGGGAGATTGGTGAATGCTTTCTAGGGTTTACTTGAGCTAGAGGGTGTGAATTTAGTGGGGCTTATGGGAGCAAAATAGGTTTCACATGCTGTTTTATACTTTGGAACTGGCAGATTTTAAGAACAGAAGAACAACCATACTGGATCAGACCAATGGTCCATCTAGCTCAGTATCCTGTCTTTCGACAGTGGCCAATGCCAGGTGCTTCAGAGGGAATGAACAGAACAAGCAATCGTTGAGTGATCCATCTCCTGTCGTCCACTCCCAGCTTCTGCAGTCAGAATCTAGGGACACCCAGAGCATGGGGTTGCAGCCCTGCCAACTTGGCTAATACCCGTTGATGGATCTATCCTCCATGAATTTATTCTTTTTTTGAACCCCTTTATAGTTTTGGCCTTCACAACATCCCCTGCAACGAGTTCCACAAGGTGACTGTGTGTTGTGTGAAGATGTTTCCTTTTGTTTGCTATAAACCTGCTACCTATTAATTTCATTGGGTGACTCCTGGGTCTTGTGTTATGTGAAGGAGTAAATAATACTTCCTTATTTACTTTCTCCACACCATTCATGATATGATAGAGGTCTATAAAATCTCCCCTTAGCCATCGCTCTTCCAAGCTGAAAAATCTGTTTTATTAAACTCTCCTCCTATGGAAGCTGTTCCATACCCTTAATCATTTATGATGCCCTTCTCTGTACTTTCTCCAGTTATAATATACTGTATCTTTTTTGAGGTGGGACCACCAGAACTAAATTTCAGTAGATTAAGGATTCCTTTATTAGGAATCCTGCACCACTCAGATGTCAGGCATTCCAGGATCTGGAAGAAAAACTCCATTACTTCAGCAGTTTGGGAAGTATCAGGAGATGGAAATGATGGTATGCAGTCATTAAAATGTTGATGTTACCAGATTACTGGTCCCTGAATATTTCAGCTTCTGGAGGAGAGGTTGGGAGACTAGCTCAGGTGCTGATACTCTGATAAAATAATGTGCTTTAGTGTCTTGTTTCAGTAGGCATCCTTGATGCTTCAGGATCTGCCCTGCACTTTGGTGCTGGGTAACTCTTTTGTCTTGGCACACACCCATTGTCTTCCGGGGGCAGAAAGAATGCTGCTCATGGCTTCAAATTATGACAGTGAACTATATCTGTGAAGGGCAACCATGTTGGTTATGGTATCTCCCTTTAGTAGACCATGTTGTGCAGGAATGTTAGATTTGCTTGCAGATGTCATCTTAGCCACTAAAGAAATGTTTGCAGCCTTCATAAGAGGTTCCTAATTGCTTTTATGCTGTCTGGATTAAACTATTATGTCTGGCTGCTGTGAAGTTTGAAGACGTATCAAGCCTTTTTATGTTTGACCTGGCAAGAGGGCACGTTAAGTTTTAATTTTGTTTCCATTGAAGCTGCTCGTAAATCCAATCTAGGTCAGCATAAAAGGAGGCATAATGTTATTTAGCTTAGTCGTGACAAGAATTCAATGAGGAATTAATGAATGGCCTATCTTACCTAGGCAATTTGGTGACATGATGCCAGATGATATTCAGTGTAGTTAAGTGCGGGGTGGTGCATGTTGAAAGTAATAATTTGAACTAATCTCAGTAATAAGTTCTAAATGAACTCTAGCTACTCAGGAAAAAAGATCTTTGTCATTGTGGATAGTTCAGTGAAGACATCTGCTCCATGCTCAGCAGGAGTCAGAAAAACAGGCAATGTTAGGTTGTATTAAGAAGTGAGTATAGTATATATTGAAAATATTCGGATCCAATTATATAAATTACTGGTGTGTATTGTTCGATTCTGGTCACCTCGTTTTAAAAAGTATATAATTAGAACTGGTTGAAAATGCAAAACAGTGTCACATCTTGATGACATTTCAAATTTTAACTTTGGAAAATTTGGCCAGCTCTAGATACATCAGAAATAAAAAGGGTCTGGGGGGAAGAGGGGCGAATGACAATGATTAGAGCAGTGGGTCTCAAACTTTTCTATTGGTGACCCCTTTCACACAGCAAGCCTCTAAGTGTGACCCCCCCTTATAAATTAAAAACACTTTATAATTTATATTTATTTAACACTATTATGAATGCTGGAGGTGAAGCGGTGTTTGGGGTGGAGCCTGACAGCTTGCGACCCCCCACATAATAACCTTGCGACCCTTTAAGGGGTCACGACGCCCAGTTTGAGAACCCCTGGATTAGAGCCATTGCAAGGTTTCTCAGAGTTTTTAAAAAGTATATAGTTCATTGAGGAGATGAATGTGAGGACATCAGATATTAAAGAATAAATGACGTATAAAAGGGCAGTCATTTTTATCCATTATAGTAGAATAAGGGGACACACAAAAAGCTTTGAAAGATTTTAAACTGATGACTAAACCCCTTTTATGCAACATCTAATTAACCTATGGAGCTTGTAGATTCAAGATGCTTTTGAAGCCAAGGATTAACTATTTATATGAATAGTAACATCCACAGTAATATTAAATAGTATAAATATTTTTAAGGGATAACTTTTCTTTCACCTTTCCCTGAAACATCTGGTACTAGCCACTGAAAGACTAGATATCAGGCTAGATGGATCACAAGACTTGATGTACTAGGTCAGTACAATGTTACTGTGAGTCACTCAACTTTCTGTGTTTCATTTGCACTGTGAAGATACTACCCATTGTAAAGTGTTTTGGGGTCTTCTTATGAAAGGCATTGTTGAGTACAGTATAGTGGTTTGTTGTTGCTAGTAGGTTTCATAGCAATATTTTGGCAATCAAGTTCTCATGCATAGGTGTTTTTCTTTTCCTGATCTTTCCTTAACATGTTTGCCTTTGTGAGGGGATTGATGTGTAGAATTTTGCATCATCGTTCATAATATTACCTGATATTCAGTGCTTATCTTCAATGATGTGTAATCTTATCAAACAAACCAAGCCTGTGTCTAAACTATTTGGATGTTACTGACATTTTAAAAAGTTTTAAAATTTGGTATGTTTGATACCGTCTTACTTGTCTTGGACAAATGTCATTTACATGCTGCCTTTTTACTTTGCTTTATTTCAGGAGCAGTGGAGGTGTCACGCCAGAGCCCGCTTGCATGTTGGTTTAGTGCTATGCTTTACTGCTTTGGTGGGTCTGTTCTGTCTTCCTTGATGCTTGCAGAGCCTCCTGTAGGGTTCCTTGCAAACAGCACTAATATCTTCCTGGCATCTTCAGTCTGGTAAGCATGCACAAGAGTATAAAATAAGTACCTTTGTTTTTGTATTAGTAAACTCGTACTGTGTGCACACTTATAAAGTGCTTATGCAGCTGCTAGAGCTCCACCGATAGTAAGCGACAATGGGGTAACTCTAGCAAAAAACCTCCCTAGATACAAAACCCCTGGTGTGGATACAGTCAGAGAGGCTTCAGAGTTAACGCTGATTGGAATTAATGGAAGCAGCTTGACTCTCTTGAAGGAGCAAGATTATCTTTCATTTAGGGTGTACTGATAATATTAATTTGGGTAATATGGGAATTTAATTAATTAATTAAATTTTATTTGGTTTTAATAATAATATTAATAATTATTATCAATATGAATTAGTATGGGTTTTAGGCTCGCCAATTTGTTTGATCAGATGATACAAGTTTTTGTCCTGAATCACACTCCACAGAATTTACGAAGGTCAGGGGTATGACAGGAAGCTCACATTGAGACAGATGTAGCCTTAAAGACTTTTTATTAAAATTAATAATAGTAAGTAAATGGTAAAATAATGAGTTACAAAGTTACAATTGCATTACTGCTATTCAAAAGATACAGATGATAATATAGTATTATATGCAGCAAAGCTTTGGTTTGGTTTTCCTGGTGGCAAGAGACACAGGAACAGCCTTGTGGTTCAGAGCTGACTAGGGTTTACTTGACTAAGTTAAACTTAACTCAAAACCTAATAAACTAAGAATAAAACTTAGGGAAACAGAGCTTAGCCTAGTTCCTTTGAAACTTAGTTTAAGAAGAACAAGTATAGTCTACTAATAGTAGCAGTCATCGTAGATAGATAGAATAGATAGAGTGGAGGAAGTAAGTGAGAATAGAGTAAAGTGAGAATGGAGATGGAGTAAAGTGAGAATCGAGTGCTCTGTTGAGGTGGGTCACCTCTTTTATAGGGCAAATGCCGGAAATCCTTCCTCTTGTGCCCAAATTTTATTCCGCACCCACAAAAATGTTAGGGTACACTTACCCCATAGGCTAATATGTATTTGCGTATTGATGACAGGTATGTATGCACATCAGTCTCTTGTGGTGTACTTGTTAAGTCTGTGGGTACAACATTGAAAACCCCCCTATGCCATTCTCAATTGTCTATTGGTCTAAATAAAAGGTCATAGACATCGGCGTGAGTACTCATCTCTTTAGATAACAAGCTATAGTCAACTTTGCTTTCTGAGTAAAAGGTCTTCATATAGAGATGCTAACTTTGCCTTAGCTTAACATACAGGATATGGCCTGTAGGTCTCTTGCATTACCGCCAAACTTCCTTTTAATATACATTTATAAACCTATTACAATAAACCAAATACTTAAACTATAAGAAAAGATTTTATAGATATAGATATAGATATATATGCATGCATGCATGCAAGCAAGCAGGTTAGTCCTATAGGCTACATCTGTCTTTGGAAGGCCGTCTCATGTACGGCCATTCATTTGTCTTAAAGCGTTTTCTATTTATTATTGGCAAGTGGATAAGTCAGTCTCTTCAAAGTTTTGTAAAGAAACTAGAGGGATAAGTTTGTCCAAGGCAGAGTTTATTATCGTTACTTTTAAGAAGTAAGCTAATTCCTAGAAAGATGAGACATGGGGCTTGTCTAAGTTTAAAGGATTTTGAGGTAGCTATTGGGCATCCAGATTAAACTAAGAGGTAGGTGTTTTTCTGCTGCTAGACAGAGGGGTTTGCTGGGACTGATTCCACCACCCCCTCTTGTTCAGCTTGTGCTTCCTGGCAATGACCTGCTTTATTTACTGCCAGCTCCCAGCTTGACGTTCTGAAACTAAAAGGAGACGGGAGTCATTTTGGGAATGAAGGTGAGGGAAAAATTTACATGGAAGTCAGCAGCAAGTTTAATGGGAAGGTGGGTGAGAGAGAGGCAGTGAATTGGCTTGCTGTGGGAAAGGGATAGGTTCCAGAGCTTGGGATTGAAGGGTGAAGGAGATCTTGTTTTGTTCCTAAGGGTCTGTCTGTGCTGCAAAAAAGTGCGTTCAACTCAGATTAGCTTGCTTGGGTTAAAATAACATTGAAGACGTGGCAAATCAGTTTTTAATTTGGGTTAGCAGCTCAAATTAAAGCCTATAGGGTAGTCTGGGGTTAAATTTAAACTGCTAACTCAAGTTAAAAGCAGAATTGCTGTGTCTTACTGCTATTTTAACCTAAGTTCACTAACGAGGATTAGCTAACCAAAGCTAAGAATGTACCTTTTATTTGTGGTACACCCAAAGAGTGGCTGCTGGGAGGAAGGCAGAGTTCCAGTAGAGAGGGGAGAGCAGAGGATGTACTCTTCTTTAGTACTTCAGTTCAGAATCCGATTCCTCAGTTTTCCAATAGTTAACCTATATTATATATCTAAATTGCTGTGAGATGCACCATTATCAGATATGGGGTTTGAACAATTTTGTTGCTGAGGAATGCAGACCTTACTGGACCACTTCAAGGAAGCAAAAAATGGAAGCAGTTAAGCTCAAATTAAGAGATGGTATCCTTTACTTGTTTGGATTTTTGCAAAAACTAAACCTTATCTTATAGCATCAACTTCTGTTCCTTATGGTTGACATTGCAGACAACCATCAGCAAAATACACTTAATCTTCTGGGGGTCTAATGCAAATTTCACTTAAACTTTGGAACAAGAAATGGATCTTTCACAAATTAGTTGATTTAAGAAAAGTGCGCTTTCTAAATGTGTGTGTGTGTGTGTGTGTATATATATATATATTTTTTAAAAGCAAAGAACTTGGAAAGCACAATATTTCTGTATGGAAATGATAAACTGCTACTAGACAGCAAAAATTTAAATCTTAATCCTGTTTTTTGGAGAACTTGAAAACCTGGGGAATATTTAGAGTCAAATTTAATTAACATGGTCTGGCTACTTCACAACCAAAGTGCCAGATGACCCTTGAAATCAATTTAATGGGGTTTGTGCTGGCTTCTGAGAAGTCTTTTTGTTGTTGTTGTTTTTTGTTTACCCTTGGCTTTCTTTCGCTACATCTTATCGTAATTAAACTTTGTCCCATATACATACTTGAGGTGAATGAGGCTTTTTTTAAACAACAAACAAAATCATCCAAAGCACAGGACTTGGTGGTGACGGGGGACTTCAACTACCCAGACATCTGTTGGGAAAATAATACAGCAGAGCACAGATTATCCAGCAAGTTCTTGGAATGTATTGGAGATAACTTTTTATTTCAGAAGGTGGAGAAAGCAACAAGGGGAGAGATTGTTCTAGATTTGATTTTGACAAATAGGGAGGAACTGGTTGCGAATTTGAAAGTGGAAGGCAGCTTAGGTAAAAGTGATTATGAAATGGTAGACTTCATGATTCTAAGGAATGGTAGGAGGGAAAACAACACAATAAAGATAATGGATTTCAAGAAGGCAGACTTTCGCAAACTCAGGGAGTTGGTAGTTAAGACTTCTTGGGAAGCAAGTCCAAGGGGAAAAACAGTTCAAGAGAGTTGGCCATTTTTCAGAGAGACATTGTTAAGGGCACAAGAGCAAACTATCCCACTGCGTAGGAAAGATAGGAAGTATGGCAAGAGACCACCCTGGCTTAACCAGGAGATCTTCAATGATCTGAAACTCAAAAAAAAGAGTACAACAAAAAGTGGAAACAAGGTCAAATTACAAAGTATGAATATAAACAAATAACACAAGTATGTAGGGACAAAATTAGAAAGCCCAAGGCACAAAACGAGATTAAATTAGCTAGAGACATAAAGGATCACAAGAAAATATTGTACAAATACATTTAAAAGCAAGAGGAAGACCAAGGACAGGGCAGGCCCATTACTCAATGAGAAGGGAAACAATAACAGAAAATGTGGAAATGGCAGACGTGCTAAATGACTTTTTTGTTTGCTTTCACCAAAAAGATTGGTTAGCGATTGGACGTCTAACATAATGAATGCCAGTGAAAATGAGGTAGGATCAGAGGCTAAAATAGGGAAAGAACAAGTTAAAAATTACTTAGACAAGTTAGATGTCTTCAAGTCACCAGAACCTGATGAAATACATCCTAGAATACTCAAGGAGCTGACGGAAGAGATATTTGAAAAGTTATGGAAGACAGGAGAGATTCCAGAGGACTGGAAAAGGGCAAATACAGGAAATAAGGACAACTCGGGGAATTACAGTTAGTCAGCTTAACTTCTGTACCCAGAAAGATAATGGAGCAAATAATTAAGCAGTCACTTTACAGACAGTGAGAAGATAATAAAGTGATAAGTAACCGTCAGCATGGATTTGTCAAGAACAAATCATGTCAAACCAACCTAATAGCTTTCTTTTTACAGGGTAGCAAGCTTTGTGGATGAGGGGAAGTGGTATATGTGATATATCTTGACTTTAGTAAAGCTTTTGATACTGTCTCACATGATCTTCTCATAAACAAACGAGGAAAATACAACCTAGATGAAATTACTGTAAGGTGCATGCATAACTATTTGGAAAACCATTCCCAGAGAGTAGTTATCAGTGGTTCATAGTCAAGCTGGAAGGGCATATCAAAAGCAGTCCCACAGGGACCAGTTCTGGGTCTGGTTCTGTTCAATATCTTCTTCAATGATGTTGATAATGGCATAGAGAGAACGCTTATAAAGTTTTGCGGACGATACCAAGCTGGGACGGGTTGCAAGTGCTTTGGAGGATAGGATTATAATTCAAAATGATCTGGATTAAACTGGAGAAGTGGTATGAAGGAAATAGGATGAAATTCAATAAGGACAGATGCAAAGTACTCCACTTAGGAAGGAACAATCAGTTGCACACATACAAAATGGGAAATAACTGCCTAGGAAGGAATACTGTGGAAAGGGATCTGGGGGTCATAGTGGACCACAAGCTAAATATGAGTCAACAGTGAACACTGTTGCAAAAAAAAAAAAAAGAAAA